GACTCGATGTTTATAAACTGGGGTGAGTACCGTGGAGATGCCGTACTCGTGTACTGTGGTATGTGTCCGTTGGCCTGTGCGCCCTCAGGGCTGTAAGTGTCCGTTTTTTCTGGGTGTGCACTTTGGGTTTAAGTGATGCCACGTGTTTATAGTTACGCATTTTGTTTCCTTACAGTACATGGAGAGTCCTGGGTGTACACTTTGAGTTGAAGTGATGCCACGTGTTTATAGCTACGCATTTGGTTTCCTTACCGTACATGGAGATGTCTGGGTGTACAACTTTGGGTTGAAGTGATGCTACGTGTTTGTAGTTACGCATTTTTTTTCCTGACAGTACATGGAGAGTCCTGTGCCCGTTTCTCACCTTGACGTGCAGTTGAGAACTAACTACGTACCTGGTTGTGTGGCGGGATGTGTGTTGCATCTCACCCCATCGTCTATGCTGCGGCGTGTGCCTGTGGTTTCTGTGGGTGTTTCGTATGTTGCAGCAACAGAGGCGCTTCTGTCGGGCTGTGTGCTTGACGTCTTGTTCTGTTTTTGGTTTTTGGTTCCTTGGTTCTTGTTTCGGGTGCATGCATATGCATTATACATCCTAAGCGTATCCGATCCCATTCTCCATAATCTCACACATCTGATGCACAACCCCTCGAATGGCACACAGTTGGTGTTCAGGCGAGAGGCTGAGGTGCGGTTTGACTGGTACCCGCGGCACGCGGTGACCAAGGTGTTGGGGGAGATTGACAATCGTGCGGGCATTTCATCGGAAATCAAGAGTCTGCTGGAAACCTGGAAGGTGCCGGTGGAGGGCAATCCATTTGCCCAGCCTAGGCAGCCAGACACAGGTGAGTGGGGTGCTAAACCCTAAACCCTAGACCCTAAAATAGCCCCCTTAGTCAAGACAAACCCTACCGCTATATGCGTAGACTTGACCTTTTACTTGAAAGTAGTTGGTACAGATGCAACCTACGTTGGGACATACGAGTGCAGAACAATCCCTTTGCGCAGCCCCTACAGTCCGTCACAGACACAGGCGGGTCAACCAAGGTTTATTTTGTGTCTGGTTTTTCTAAGATCTTGAGAAAACACCGAATTTATACATAGTTATGGCCTTATAAGCTCTATAACAGTTCGTATGTGGCACACATGTGCATGGGCGTTGAGGTTTGGTGCTATCCGATATGCACAACTACCTCCCCACAGTCGGAGAGTCTGCTGCGATGTGTGCGCTACGATTGACATACTAGCCTTTTTGCAATGCATACAGTTGTTTTAATGTGATGCATACTTGTCGGTGTTTCATGTATTTGTGTGTTATGTTCGGTACGGCTGACGTGTAAGACACTGCCGATACACAGTTCACAGGTACGTATGCGAATACGTTCGATGTTGCTTAATACAGGCAATACTGTAAACAATCTACCTGCCGTAAAACATACCAAATCAACACGTTCCCTTGACACAATAATGAGCAGTAAGTGCATGCTCACACACAGATGTCATCGAAGTTCTGCACAAAACAAAAGTTGAAGTGATAGAAAACCAAATGATTGCTCACTATTATAGTACGAAGGACGCTGCTATATTAGTTTGGCACGATGTATGTACAGACCATTTTCCCTACATGACTACGATAATGAAAGAGACTCTTGGTGACACTGGAGATGTACACTTCACTGGTTTGGCCCAATTCTCTCGATGTAGCTTATACTTGTAAACTGGTTTATCTGTCGTAGTAGCTGATTAGTAGTTGATGCTAGCGTTGATTTATTCGATGCGGTCGCTCCTGCAATACCGCCGGCCGCCACTTCTTTGTGTTAAAATCATCCCTTATAAAAACATGTGCTTTCCTAATAATCACATGTGCTTACCTAATATTGACATGTGCTTACCTAATAATCACATTTGTTTACCTGATAATCACACATGCTTACCTAATAACCACATGTACTTATTTAACAAACACATTTGTTCACCTTGCAGAGGCTGATCCCGTTGGAATGGCTTTCAAGAAGTACTGCAGCGACGAACCCTCTGCTAAGAAGATGTATCCCGATTGGCGTAGGTCCATTGCGTGTGTGCTGATTGGTGTTGTTGAGTACATTTCTCTGCATGCTGTAACTGTGTCATTGGACAAGTACTGCTACGTGTAGGTCCATTGCGTGTGTGCTGATTGGTTCTGTTGAGTACATCTCTCTGCATGCTGTAACTGTGTCATTTGACAAGTGCTGCTACATGTGTGACCCTGAGCTTTACATTGCGGCACTGGACAGGTGTGCTCTAGTCTGTGTGGCTGAATGAGCGGGGTAGTGTATTAAATTGATGTGGTTGTGTACAGATTCGTTGAGTGGCTGCGTTTGAACCGCTCACCCGAGAGAGTGTGCACTAAAACCCTTCGAGAAACCCAACTTCAGACAGATTTTCACATGGTTTAGTCTCCCACTCTTTACCATTACCACTCACCACCGTAGCATAGCCGCTTAGCTGGCTGATGTCTAGTCAAGGTTAACGTTTTAGCATGTGATCACTACCGCAAATCAATCACTGAGGAATACGCACGACCCCAACTTGGATATGGACACACAGAATCCTCAAGCCTCATATGCATGCACAAAGTTGCACAATAACAACTATATCCACAAACCGTACAAATCAATTGGAGCCACACAAAACGTTTGCCAGGTATGGTCACATACCATCATGCGAATGTATGCTGAGAACACGCCTACGCGATTTAGATACCCACTACACGCAACGCGAGTAAGCTACCCACTACACACAGCCACGAAGTGTGTACTCACAGGTCAAGAGGTCATTCCATGTGCCATGCTCGTAGTATGCACGTACCATGTACATGCATTATCATGTACATGTATCCGTACAAGAAGTCTTCACAGTCTGCTTTGTTTTTCGCATACATAGTTGAATTCATATGTATGCCACCATGGACCCCATGCATTACTATTTGAATAGTTACTATCACCGCGTGATATTCACACACCTTGAATATTGTTTCAGCTCACAACCGCAGTGAACTCGGTCTGACCAAGCCAAGCACCAACCATACATATACCCCAAGCACCAACCATACATATACCCCAAGCCAACCATAC